GATTGCACATGATACCATTGGTTGAGTTGAGTGTTTCTTGACAGTTACTCTGAACTGAAAGTCATCAGAGGATACGCACCATTGCACACCCAGTGCTCTTTCTAGGAGCGGCTCCCCTAAATTTATGTCCAGCTCTTTGACAATGTCAGCACACTGTTCCTTTGGTATTGATTCCAATACCTTCTTGCTGTTGGGAATGAACTTGTGTAGTCTAAGCTTGCCTGCACTGCAGAACTCTCTCGCTTCCTTAATCAGCTCGATTGCCTCAGCATCAGACCTTACACTCACCAGTCCATCATCAACATAAAAATTTCTTCAGATGAACTTGACAGTGCTTTGGCTAAATCAATCCTGACCTTCTGTGGCTAGATGTTTAAGTCCAAAATTGGCACAGCCAGGTGAGGAAGCTGCTCTAAACAAATGGACTTTCATCCAAAAAACTGATGGCAGAGACTCGAGATCACCATTCTCCCACCATAAGAACCTCAAGTAGGTCTTCAGACTTTACATGGAATTGATGGAACATTCATTCCACATCACACATAATAGCGACTGGGCCCTTTCGAAATCTACAAAGAACTCCCACCAAGGTGTTTGTGAGCTCTGGCCCTGTAAGAAGGTGGTCATTCAATGATATATCTTGAAATCTTGCCGAGCAATCGAAGACCACTCGCAGTTTCTCTGGCTTTTGAGGGTGGTATACACCATGGTGGGGAATACAGTGGGGCAAAAAAAGTATTTAGTCAGCCACCGATTGTGCAAGTTCCCCCACCTAAAATGATGACAGAGGTCAGTAATTTGCACCAGAGGTACACTTCAACTGTGAGAGACAGAATGTGAAAAAAAAAATCCATGAATCCACATGGTAGGATTTGTAAAGAATTTATTTGTAAATCAGGGTGGAAAATAAGTATTTGGTCAATAACAAAAATACAACTCAATACTTTGTAACATAACCTTTGTTGGCAATAACAGAGGTCAAACGTTTACTATAGGTCTTTACCAGGTTTGCACACACAGTAGCTGGTATTTTGGCCCATTCCTCCATGCAGATCTTCTCGAGAGCAGTGATGTTTTGGGGCTGTCGCCGAGCAACACGGACTTTCAACTCCCGCCACAGATTTTCTATGGGGTTGAGGTCTGGAGACTGGCTAGGCCACTCCAGGACTTTCAAATGCTTCTTACGGAGCCACTCCTTTGTTGCCCGGGCGGTGTGTTTTGGATCATTGTCATGTTGGAAGACCCAGCCTCGTTTCATCTTCAAAGTTCTCACTGATGGAAGGAGGTTTTGGCTCAAAATCTCACGATACATGGCCCCATTCATTCTGTCCTTAACACGGATCAGTCGTCCTGTCCCCTTGGCAGAAAAACATCCCCATAGCATGATGTTTCCACCCCCATGCTTCACAGTAGGTATGGTGTTCTTGGGATGCAACTCAGTATTCTTCTTCCTCCAAACACGACGAGTTGAGTTTATACCAAAGAGTTCTACTTTGGTTTCATCTGACCACATGACATTCTCCCAATCCTCTGCTGTATCATCCATGTGCTCTCTGGCAAACTTCAGACGGGCCTGGACATGCACTGGCTTCAGCAGCGGAACACGTCTGGCACTGCGGGATTTGATTCCCTGCCGTTGTAGTGTGTTACTGATGGTGACCTTTGTTACTTTGGTCCCAGCTCTCTGCAGGTCATTCACCAGGTCCCCCCGTGTGGTTCTGGGATCTTTGCTCACCGTTCTCATTATCATTTTGACCCCACGGGATGAGATTTACGAATAAATTCTTTACAAATCCTACCATGTGGATTCATGGATTTTTTTTTCACATTCTGTCTCTCACAGTTGAAGTGTACCTCTGGTGCAAATTACTGACCTCTGTCATCATTTTAAGTGGGGGAACTTGCACAATCGGTGGCTGACTAAATACTTTTTTGCCCCACTGTATACCAAGCTGACTGTATATCAAGATCTTCTTCTGGGACCTTTTCTGCTTCACCATGGCTGATAATGTCTTTCATGAAGTTCATGTAGTCTGTCCAATATTTCTGGTCTCTCTTGAGCTTCCTCTCCAAGCACATGAGGTGTTGAACAGCTTATTATTGTTTGGTAGCTCTGGTCTGCTCTGTTTAAAAGGCAGAGGCATTTCCGTCTTCTTTGTGCTTTATTTCTTCATGCATTTTAGTCAAAAACCGGAGATCTTCTTGCAAGAGATTTGCCTCTTCTGAAGTCAGATTTCAGCACCTTAAGTACATCTTCTGGCGCAGTCAACTCCTTAATTCTTGTCTTGCAAGCATAATGAACTTCGCTCTTCACCTTACTTGTTACTTTGGGTTCAGGGGTCACTTGCTTTACAATGATGTGGTGACTTACTCCAATTGCATCACTGTAGTGTTCGCCTGGATCTCCATAGCTCACTATGCACCAGCCTACATCAGTTTTCTGTACGAAGGGCTGGTTGTTCTCATCACTCATAACTTCTCTAGGCATTAGTGCTTGTGAACAGTTATACCCGATAAGAAGACCGATTTCACATTTCTTCGGCGGGGCAATGTGTTCCACAAGATGCTCTAAATGAGGCCATGTCCTTGCAGTCTCTGGCGTTGGAATGTGTGTACGATTGGCAGGTATGAATTCACGAGTGTAGACCGTTGACACTGTGATCTTCTTAGAAGATAACCCTCTTATTTGAGTCTTTTGCATGGTACAATTGTCTCCTTAGACAACACTGGTCAGCTTCAACTTAACTGGCTCTGCATTAACATCAAGCACATCCGCTACTTCTTCAAGAATGAACAAAGAGTCACTTTGTGAATCTAACAGAGCATAGACGAGGACTTCTTTATTTGAATTACTTGGCATTGATGCATAAACAGGAACTATTGCTGAAGTCTGAGCACTATTACCATCATGCACAACTCTATTGGATGTGGTTTTTTGAATGGTGTCTTGCGGCGATTGTGGCTTTCTTTCGTTACTGCACCTTGTCTCGTCATTGTCTTGTTGTTTTGAGCGGTCCTCATGTAGGCATGTGGGGTGGCATTTTGAGCAGGTGTTACAGACCATCCAGTTGCTGCAGTTCTTGGATTGATGGCCAGGACTCAAACAGCCAAAGCACAGTTTCTCACCTTGAATGAACTTCACTCGGTCAGCAACTGGCCTTGCAGTTAGTCTACGACACTTGTGCAAGACATATCCTGTTTTCTTACAAAACATACATGTGCTTATGTTCTTCTCAGTGGTGTTAGTTGCAAAATTCCTTGCATTTGCTGCTTGGTTCTTAGAGGTCACTACATTCTGAGGTTTAGATCTTGTCTTTTCCAAATCCCCTTGCTGCAAAGTCAGGAAAGTTACAAAAATACTTAAAATCTGGGAACCTTCCATGCTTCCATCCTCAGGGGTGGGCAATTCCAGGCCCCAAGGGCCGGTGTCCTGCAGGTTTTAGATCTCACCTTGGGTCAACACACCTGAACCACATGATTAGTTCGTTACCAGGCCTCTGGAGAACTGCAGGAGCTAATTTAGCCATTTAAATCAACTGTGTTGGTTGAAGGACATATCTAAAACCTGCAGGGACACCGGCCCTCGAGGCCTGGAGTTGCCCACCCCTGCTCTAGCTGATACTGCGTGGCTTTTTGGTTCCATCTGTTGCTTAACCAGTCAGGCAACTTGGCTGTCAGTTTTTGATTTTCAATGCCATCATCAAGAATACGCAGACTCTCATTGTGACCCATGGCACATTCACAACTGTGTAAAAAGTCCACAAATTTCCTTACGTCAGCGCTCTCTCTTCACGCTGTTTTTGGCCAGGCATGTAATTTGTCTCGGCAGGCTTTTGGCAATCATAAAAGGCTGGCTGTATCGCTCATTGAGCAGTTCCCATGCAGCATCATATGCAGTATCTGAACCAATCAGAAAATAACCATCTAATCCCTCTCTAGCCACTCCTCCAACAGATTTCTGAAGGAAGAATATTTTCTCTGAGCTTGGAATGTTTTTCTTTTCAATTAGAGATTGGAAGGATGACTTCCAATGATTAAACTTGAGTGGATCACCACTAAAAACTGTGGGCTCTGGAATAGGTAGCCTATTTGCTGATATAATAATAATGGATTGGATTTATATAGCGCTTTTCAAGGCACCCAAAGCGCTTTACAATACCATTATTCATTCACTCTCACATTCATACACTGGTGGAGGCAAGCTACAGTTGTAGCCACAGCTGCCCTGGGGCAGACTGACAGAAGCGAGGCTGCCATATCGCACCATCGGCCCCTCTGGCCAACACCAGTACATAAGTAGGGTAAAGTGTCTTGCCCAAGGACAGAACGACCAGGACAGAGAGCCCGGGGATCGACCTGATTGAGTCAGTCAGGCTATACAGACCTATAGGATAAATACTGTTTATAAATACATCCATATTATGATCATTCTCACTGTACTTTATGTATATATTAAAAGGAAAATCTTTGTGTATTTTAATGTATATAGTAATCCATGTGTCCATAGTATAGCATTTTCCGTTTTTTTTTTATTTCCAGGCTATTTTTCTTATTTATTTTTTATTGTTTTCTAATGCATCTCTAATTCACCTTTTCTTGTTGTCCCTTGCGCTGCTGTAACAAGTGAATTTCCCCAGTGTGGGATTAAATAAAGTCTATGTCTAACATAAATACAGAGACATGGAAACATGGATTGTATTACTCTGATGGATGTATCAGAGCAACTTGGGGTTGTCCTCTTGCCCAAGGATTTTTGGCATGCAGACTGGGGCTAACATTGAGCCACCAATCTTCGGATTATTAAATGACCTTCTCTACCTGCTGAACTACAAAATGGAAATGATTCACTGAAATTTCTATTCTTGTTTAAAATAGAACTAGCCAGTTGTACAGCTACAGTGTAAAACAGCTTTGGCATTACTTGAATAGGTGGCATTTCTTTTTTTGATACTTTTGTAGTAAGCTCTTGCTCTTGTTCTTTTTGTCTTTTCCCCTATTAGGCGTGATCTACACCACTGATATGTTGGACCGAGAGAGCAAGGACTCCTATTGGCTAACAGTTTATGCCACCGACCACGGTGTGGTTCCTCAGTTCACCAGTATTGACGTATTTATCCAGGTGGAGGATGTTAATGACAACGCCCCGTTGACTTCTGAACCTCTGTACCGAACCTCAGTGCCTGAGAATTCTCCACGTGATGTTTCTGTAATCCAGATCGAGGCTCAAGATCCTGATGCCACACTCTCCACTACTGCTGAGAGGCTCAACTACCGCATTATTAGTGGAAACCCACAGAATTTCTTCACCGTCAATACCCGCACTGGTGAGAAAGCATGTGTGCATCTTTCATCAAAAAGGTAGTGCTATATGTTAACATAAGCAAATTTAATTAGAAACCAGGAGTTGTAATTATAGGTTTAGGTTATAGGTTATTTTTTTCACTAATGAATTATCTTTCTTTTGTCTGCTGTGCATAACAAGTAGCAGTAACACTTACAGCTTGGTAATAAAGTGATAATAGCAGGGTAACAAGGCAGAAACAAGAACCTAATAATATGGTAATTTCTAAGTTATTACCACTAAATTACAAAGCAGTAACTAATTACTGCGACAAAATGTTTCTCCCACTCAAAACGCTATGTCCAGATGAACAGAATCAACCTTTAGGGATTTACTTAGCTGGATAATTGAGCATGCATCAAGACATCCAAGTAATTTAATCCTAACAACAACGGTTACAATTGAGTAGAAGTATACTGAAATTCATGTAATTGGATAACAGACCCCCAAAACTGGGGGTAATAATGTGGAAATAAAAACATCCCCATGAGGCAAAACCAATTAGTAGTAGGTCTCTCAAAGTCCACCATCATCTCCACTGTCTTGAGCAGGGTGAGCTCCAGGTATGACATGTTCAGTTTTTTCTTAAGGAAGTACAGGAGAATGTCTATGGTTTAAAATATGTAATTGGCTTCAACAATTGAAATTACAAGTTTACAGCGCTGGACCTCGGTGTGAAATCAGCCACCTGCCTCACATGAAGGATGACCTTCAGATTGGGCTATACAGTTTTACAATAACAAGTATTATTATGACTACTTCCGGAAGCGGCATGGCGGTCCCTCTGTCTCCCTGTGAATCTTCTCCTCTCTCCGTTCACATCTGACCTCACCCGTATCTGTTCCTTTCCTGGAATAAAACAGAGAAGACGCCTCCCTGCCTATACTTGATTATTAATATTATCCTACTGATTCTATTTATCTATTCTATTTATTCTATTCTGTCTAAGTTTGGGACATTCTGTTCGGACTCCCTTGGCTCAGAAAATATCATCCTGACTGTTAACCAGTTATGTGTAAGCATGTTCTGGACCAGACAGTGGATTCATGGATGTACCTGTCATCCATGAACTTAAAGAGTTTCACAGATTATTCTCCTGAGGAGCATCCATTAGTGTAGAGGGAGAAGAGCAGTGAGGAAAAAACATACCCCTGGGGGAGGCCGGTGCTGATGGTCTTAGTGGGATGTGATGCTTTTTCAGTGCTCACCTGCTGCTTGCTTGTAGTCATTTAATCCTTTGGTGGACTTCTTTGAGATCAAGATGACAGTGGAGCATTTGAAGCAGGAGGGGACTTCACACAGCTCCAGAGATCTCTTAAAGATGGAGGCCAGTTGGTTGGCACAGACTTTCAGATAGGAGGGAAACACACCATCAGGTCCTGGAGCTTTTCTAGTCTTCTGTCTCTGGAAGAGCAGACACACATCGTCCTCAAGGATCTTTAATGCAGGTTGGGGGTCAGAGGGGAGGGGGTTGAGGGCTGCAAGTAGTTTTTTTGTGTAGGCATTAGGTGAGGGTGAGCCGGTGGGAGGTATGAATGATTGTCTTTCAAATCTGCAGTAGAAGGGGTTAAGGTTGTTAGCCATTCGGCTTCTCTTCAGGGTGCTGGGATGCACTCCTGTAGCTGGGGATGTGCTGCAGGCCTCTGAAAACTGGTGTAGGGTTGCTGGCTAAGAAGTTGTTTTTAAGCTTCTCCCTTCAGTTCCTTTTACCCTGATCTTCTTGCTCAGCTCATTTCTGGCCTACTTGTACAGGGCCCAGCCCCTGCTGCTGTAGGTCTCCTCCTTGGTCCTTCTTGGCGCAGCTTCTTCAGAATTGGAGTGAACTGTCATGGCTACTGAACGGACTCACGCGCAGATAGTTATTTTCAAGGAAACACAAAAGGGGATTTATTTACAATGGGGATCACCTTAGTGCAAAATATATGTACAGTGAGATGGGAGGGGGTCCAGGGCTCCAGGGAGAGAAGGGGGGGGGGAATCCACACACGCGCTTCCTTTTCCACTCAGTCACCGCCACCGCTCCTCCGCACACACGCACTCCTCTTCAGCCGCACTCGCTCCCACACTCCACACACTGCCCCACTTGGACAGGTCCGGTGATTTGGTCCAGAATCTACAGACAAGAAGTGCACGGTTAGTTCCACAACAGGAAAAACAAACAAAACTTCTTCGAATAAGCCGCGAGCACGAACTCAGGTAGTTTAACGTTCCAGCGGTGAGCTGCTCTGTGCCACTGCCTTAAATAGCAGCTGGGGAAATCAGCCCGATCAGCCGCAGGTGGACATCATCACACGGGTGCGTGGGCCAAGAGCGAGAGCCCGTAATGAGCTCCACCCAGGCAGAGAGGAGGAGGAGAGAAAGAAAACCAAAATGAACAACAACAAAACCTGTAGCCAGCGTGGGCCAGCCAGAGAGACACGGGGACCGTGACATGAACCATGGTTTGTTATTATTGCATTTGCAAAAGGTCTTAGTCTGCCCACACAAGTCTGCACAAAAGTTGCAGCGGAAGTTGCAGCTTCAAAAACACTCCAGTCTGTGCAGTCAAGGCAGGATTGTAATTTGTCCCAAGTGCTTGGTCCACTTCTTCAGTTTTAAGTTAAGTTCTTCATAGTTTTTAAAATAATTAAAAGTATTAGTCATTGTATTGCCATGTAGATATATCATAGACAGATCACTGAAAAATATAGCCATTACAGACGTAGTAATGCTAATGAGAGGAAAGACCAAAGCATAAGCCAAAACAAGTCAAAGCTGGCCGACAGTTTGAATTGACTGATCTAGCCTTCGTTCAAGTCCGCCCTTACTTCCATGTTTTTCCGGTTGCCAGCACCACGGTGTGAAAACTTTAAAATGGACCCAGAAATGTCGCTCCATTTTTTGTACATTTTTAGTTCTCTTGGAGCTAGAAAAACTTTGTCGTCGCCGGCATGTTTTGTACCTTAAGCTCATCAGAGACAATCATATGCAGGTAAAATAATTTCCTTTAATCTACACGCATTTAGGAATTACTAGTTTCATGGATAATTTCAGTGGCTGAATGATTGTGCACATTTACTGTTTCATATAAAATGTGTAAACTAAATCTCTTTGAAACTTATAGAAGAACTTTTTCTATTTCTATTTATTTTCTATTATTCATTTGATCCTGTAACTTATTTGTGTGCATAGATAGGCTGTAAAAATGTCACAAAGCTGAAAACATTGTTATTTTTGAGTTCACAAAAAAAGCTTAGTTACACAGATAAAGTGTATAAAATTTAAGTCTTTTCACAACTTATTTGTATATTTTACTTAAGCTTAATAATCAGAATAATGCTTTAATCTCTTCAAATGAATGAAATCATACCTTTCTACAAAAACTGTTTATGTTGTTCTCCACCTTTTCCTTAACCAGACCAGACCCTTGTCCTTGTACTGTAGGATTAACCTGAGTGTCCCTGTCCTGGACCGTTTTTTTAACCAGGAGGATCCCAGTCCTAATTTTTGTTGATGTATTATAAATATTCTTGTTTTATTGTTTTTGTTATTTACTTCAAACATATCACCAAAAGGTTAATTCGGAAAAATCAAAATTGACTCTAAAAGTGTATTCCTCTCCCGCATTACCTCCGTCTTCGTCCGCGATTGTTATAAGAAAAATCCTCCTGTGTGACCCGCAATGAATCATGGGATATGGTAGGCTACCAAGGATAGCCTACCTTGGTAGCCTACCATATCTGGTAGAACCTTCAAATCTGGGGAAAAGTAGGACGCATTTGTTGCCACATTTGGAGGACTCTTCAAATTTGGAAAGCTTTCGTCGCGTCACTGTGACATAATTGCCCAAAATTGTGGCCTACAAATGCTACCCCTGAATTTGGACACAGCATATGACTATATTAGAGAGTTGTTTTGATACAGAAGGAATCAGGGCTAGAAGATAACCCAGGTATCATAATGTAGGCATGAAGGAGACCTGTCTTCTGCTATAATTTGTTTTGACGATCCACATAAGCCTGGAATACCACCAGGCATACCACCCTTTAGAGTTGACCCAAAATGTATAAAGTGACGTTAACGGCATAACTGCATTAACGTGGCAAATCTCAGCACTAATTTTTAAGTTATCTCCAGTGAATTATCAGCAAACAGATTTCACATTTCCTAAATTCTTGTTTGATAGTTTAATTGTTGTCTACTGTTTATTTCTCAGGTCTGATCACCACAACCTCCCGGAAACTGGATCGTGAACAACAAACAGAGCATATTTTAGAGGTAAGGAAAGATTTGTAGCTTTAGAGATTTAGAGATGAATGAAAAATGTTCAGCACCTGCAAGGTGCAAGGCTCCAAGGTGGTTGGTGCCAGTTAGGGTGGTAACCCCCAAAGCAGATGGTGGACAGGGAGCCATCAGGCTGAAAAAAAGTGTCCGTCGGACTTGATTAGCCTGCAGGAATTCAAAATCAGCCAATGGGTGCCAGCAGGCCAAGTGGAACACAGCTTGAGCAGTGGCTGAAGCAAAAATTTGGTTTTGGGAAGAGTTTAGTGAGGCCATGGAACAAGACCGTCAGACTGCCTAGAAGTTAGTGCCAATTTCAACTGAGGCGATGAAAGGCTCTAAGAGTTGTAGAGTTTTCTTAATTGACATGTCTCTACAATGTCACATGAAAATCTCTGTTGATACACTCAGGGTACGTACGGGTGGTTGAAATCCTTGAAAATGCTTGAATTTTAATGTTGTCTTTTCAAGGTTTGAAAAGTGCTTGAATTTCAGATGTGGTGCTTAAAAGTGCTTGAAAGTGTAACTGTATTTCATTCACAATAAATAGCTATCTGATTGAATAATTTTCTTATCAGGTAGAGAAATAAAATGAGTCGCAAAATGTAGAGGCAAAATTTCCCCGCCTGGGCTGCCTTGCGCCTCTGTCTGTTTCAATATATGACCCCGCCCCTCCCTCGGACAGTCGGGGATGAGTGCGCTAACATACCTGTAGGTTGCTGTTTTAATGAGTGTTTGATGGAAAACAACAATGGCGGAGTTTGCGCTCTCCAGTCGCATGATAGGTGAGTGCTAGTAAATAATTTTCCAGCACGTGTACGTTACACATGCTATTTAAAAAAAAAAAAAAGATTATTATTTTGCTAACTATCAAACTCTCTGGAGAAATGATTGATGCACTGAGTGTGATGCCTTATGGCAGTGCTATTATGGAATATGCTGTGAACTTTGCTAACATTACTTAGCAGTGATATGAGTTAATTTACTCAAGTGAAAGCTTTAAACAACGGTAAAAACGGCATTTTCTAAGGAGAGCGCTAGCAAACACGCTTTGCTTGTGAGTGTGTCAGTTCTACTAGTGAATGTGACAGATGCTGCAAAAAAGCCACCAAAAGCAGATTGCAGTGTAAACCCTGAGTGACACAGCTGCTGTCAGAACCTGCAGGTTTATCCCTGTGCTGTTCTCATCTGTGTTATAGTGGACACAAACTATTTTTTGGAGTTCCATAAATATTTTTTGTGCCTTCTTATTTGACGCAGAACACCTGATTTTTCTGTAAATAGTTTGAAATGGTTATATAAAAAACGTCTGAGCCTTGGCTGCATTTTTAGGTAAATAGTACCATATAACTTTGTTGTTTGCAAAACTTGTGCATATTTTTAAAAATGTACAATTTCTATTTGCATTTCAAGTTATGAAAATGATTCGTTAAACATGCTTGTGGTTTTTACAGGCAAAAATATCACTTTCTACTTGTATTTTAAATTTTGTCTGAATTTAGATAAATTGTGCTGATACAGTATGTCAAAATGAGAAAGTAACAGATTGGCAAGATAAAAGTTTTTAAAGATGAAATATAGAGGCCAAATCAAAAGTAGTCAAAAACAGCCAATTATATCCTGGACCCCAGGTTTTTGGAGTATTTGAAATAATGGTAATATGACTGATCCATATGGTCACAAAGAATAGCCTCTTGTTTCTGTGCTACCAAAGTTCCCCGGCTTTCATTCAAAATGTGTTTATCGTCAGCACCGACACATTAAACTACTTAAACATTATGAATGTCTTCAAGCTCACACCGAGGCCTGTTTGGCACTATCAGCCACTGAGACAGTACACACATTTATATGTGCATTTGTATATGAAGATTTCATACTGTAAGGCTGCCTGTTTATTTAAGGGAGATGAACAAAATACATTGGAATTGTACATAATAATATCACAGATGATAAATTCAATAGATTTTAAGTAGATACTTGTGCATTCTTAAAGTCTTATATGTTGAATTGAACTATGTGATCTGTTCAAAGCCTCCCAGTCAGTGCTGCTCTCCATGCCTGTCTGACTGTACATGATGTTTAAAGGTGACGTTTAGGACTTCAACAATAATACAGACAGCAATGTAGTTAGCAATAGAACAGTTTTATTGGGAATTAACTTAAAACAAACATCTGTCTCCTATTTTTTGTCACACAGGAAGGAAGCATCAATTTCTGATGAGAAGACTTATTTATTTCTTTTTTTTGTGGGGGGGGGGAGGGTTCAACAGGAGAAGAATATCTCTAACAAGTTGATTTGTTCACATTGTCACATCTTAATTTTTAAGTGAAATGTGCATTTTGAGTTTATACATTATGTATATAAGGTGACGTTTCCTTTTGCAGTATTTTTGTGTGGTTTGTTTTTCTATTTCTTAACAAAAGGTGAACAAAGGTGTTTAAGTTCACCTAGGATGATTTGTCCTAATTTCCACATGGTCTTACTGAGGGGATGCAAATTGAAACATGCATTCTTTCTTTTGGGGGGGGGGGCATGTGCTGGAAAAGCTTGAAAAGGGACCTTGAAAGTGCTTTAAAAGTGCTTGAATTTGACCCTAAAAAAGGCGTATGAACCCTGTACACTATATTGGCAGACCGGTTTGGTGGTTCCCATCTTTAAGGAAGAGGACCGGCGAGTGTGCTTCAACTATGGCGAGGTCACACTCCTCAGTCTTCCCAGGAAAGCCTTACCAGGGGCTGGAAAGGATAGTCCGTCTGTTAGTTGAACCTTGGATACAGGAGGAAAAATGTGTTTTTTGTCCTGGTTACAGAACACTGGACCAGCTTTTTACCAGCTTGAGGATATCTGAGGGTGTGTGGGAGCTTGCCCAACCAGTCTACCTGTGTTTTGTGGACTTGGAGAAGGCTTTCTACCTCAGAACATTATTTGGGAGGTGCCTGTGGAGTATGGGGTCTCTGGCCTGTTGCTGTGGGGCATTCGGATCTTATTTAACCAAGAGCTAGATTTGCATTGATGGCAATAAGTCAGACTTGTTTCCAGTGGGTGTTGGACTCCAGCTTGCACTGAAGTGGTTCATAGCTGAGTGTGACGCGGTGGGAATGAGAATAAGCACCTCTAAGTCTGAGGCCAAGGTCTTTAGCTGGAAAAGGGTAGAGTGCCCACTCCAGGTAAGGGATGAGTTGCTGCCCCAAGTGGAGGAATTTAAGTATCTCGGGGTCTTGTTTACAAGTGAGGGGAGAGGGGAGCAGGAAATCAACAGACTGATTGAGGCTGTGGCTGGAGTGATGCAGATGCTATACTGGTCTGTAGTGGTAAAGAGAGAGCTGAAAGTACGAGGCCAATCCCAAAAGTAAGAGCCCCAATTTTTTTAGAAATACAAAAAACTGTTTATTTCCCATAATATTTACATAATTTTAAAGCTTGAAGACTTATCTATTTGTCTACATAATCGCCATTTCAGTTGATGAATTTTTGTAGAGGCTGTGGCAGTTTTACAATGCCCATGTCATGCCTGCTCACTGCTGCAGAATTGCCTTCTGAACAAATGTTCTTTCAACTTTGGGAACAGATGGTAGTCACTGGGTGCGAAGTCCGAACTGTAGGGTGGGTGGGTGATGAAGTTTTGCAGGAGAGCGACAGTTTGACGGGTGACCTGTGGACACACGGTGTCGTAGAGAATCCTTGGACTGTAGGAGAAAGCCAGAGTACCTGGAGAGAACTCACGCAAATGCAGGGAGAACATCCAAACTCCACACTGAATGACACCGGGCTGATGGTGGAATTGACACCAAAGGGAGGACCTTCTTGTTGTGAGGCAACTAATCTCTGTGCGACCGTGCTGCCACAAATTGCATTATCGTTATATTAAAAAAAATTAACAACTTTAAAACCTGTAATTTAAAAGCTTGATTGATGTTAGAACAAATGAATTCTTAAGGCAATTCAGCCTGTATTTTGGGACTATCCTCTGTTGTAAGGCAAGAGCTCATATGAAGGACATGTAATGCATCTGACAGAACCCGCTGGGCCTGTCTGATTACCGACTTGTTGTAAATGCAGGGGTGGGAAAGATCTTCAGTCCTCCCAGTCACCTTCATGGCAGACCGCACCAGACACAACAGATTAGATTTTGCATGCACAGAGCAATTGCCATACCATGACAGGGCTCTAGACCAAATTTTGACGGACACACCGTCAGGGCTTACCGATTCTGATGTGTTTACGCAGTGTTTACGTCTTTTTGCGTTGATTCTGAGCTGGAGGTTTTGTCTCTCTCCAACCAAAATTCACCGAGCGAGCAGCAAAAGAAGCAGCAAACTACGCTTCATATTTGATAAATGTCGTAATGGAATCACTGCTGTTTTGCCTCCACCACGATAAAAATCACACTTCATGCACAGCTCTCTCTCTCTCTGTACTTCAAGAACAGTTTCCTGTCTCAAATCTCTGTTTTCTGCATTATTCATTCGCTTATAACCCACCAGTCTACCGTCCGCCTAACTTTTTAAAGTTAGGCGTACGGTGCGCCCATGACAAAAAGTTAGTCTAGAGCCCTGCATGATGATATGCCACACCCTATGATGCTTTCCAGTACAGCCTGATAGAACTGAAACATTATTTTCTGATTATGTCAAGTGAAGTCAATTTTTTTTCTCTTTTTCAAACACCTTTAGTCTGTGTTAAAAACAAACAAACTAACAAACAAACAAAAAACAAAACGAGAACACATTGTGGTCATTGCAACTGAAGAGATAATCAAGTTGAATCCCAAGATAAATTTAGGATTTGATATGATTGATTTCTTCATTATGGATAAACAGTGGGTTGTGGTCTCCTACTGCTTGGGGGTCCAGCACCATCTCCTTAATAGACTCGATGGTTATCTTCACTTTGTGATGTTACGTCCAGTAAGGGTATCAGAATTAGACTATTGAATTGTATGTGCTTTCTTTCACTGACATCCAGTTGTTGACTATTAGCCTATTTCAAAATGTATTGCATTGAGTTAAAATACAAATACCTTTGTTTGAGGACAATTTTCCCTAACTGGAGCTCCTTAAATTTTAATTGAAATGCTACCCATAATAATGAGTGTGCCTTGGTTTGAGTAATGCTTTGTCCTGTAGTCCATATCAGCTCTTTGGTCTGCAATACCAGATTATTCACTGAGCACTATCCTGATAGCTACTGTGTCTCATCTATTAATGCTGACTGATATTCTCCTGAGATAAGCCCAAGAACAGTTGTGTCATCAGCAAATTTAATAATGCTAGATAAATGTGAAGGTGTACAGTGTACAAAGGAGAGCAGAACCTCTAAGAACTCCAGTCTTCAATGTAATGGAAGGAAGGAAGTATGGGGGGAAGGCGAGGAAGGTGGAGGAAATTTGACATATTGAGTCAAAAAGTCCTTGATGCAGGTGTGGATGGTTGGGACAAAGCCAGTGTGTTTTCTGACTAAAATATTTGGGATGATGGTAATAAAGACAGTTCTAAAGTCAACAAAGAGCATCCTCTAGTTCTGTCAGTGGTCCAAATGGCTGAAAATGGAGTTGCTATGGCGATAACATCTTCAGTAGACTGTTTAGCGCTATTTCTGTTCTGCTAGATCGCACCTGCTCTGCGTAGTCACCTGCACAAAGTGCAGTATAGTGAGTCAGGATGTTTGATTAGAAGCCAAGAACAAAATATTTGGGTTGTTCTTTTTAAATATTTCAAACTATGTAATAGTGACTGCATATCAGATATTTTGTCCCAACAATGCTTTATCTATCCAACCTCTTCTAAATTTCACTCTGGCAGTCACTTAATTTTAAAACTAACTATTGGTCTCAATAAGCTGCACTTTCTAATTGTGAGGGACCAAGCAGCCAAGGCATAGAGGACACAGGCAAAAAAAATGTCTTCAAAAAGGGTTTTCTTTATTTTAACCCTCAAAAAGTTCAAAAATGACAAAATTCAAAAACATAATTAGAAGGCCCATAAAAGAGGTCAACCGAATATAACTCTACAAAAAGTAATTTCCAGAAACTTAAACAAAGTGGACACAACTTAACTCACAAACTGACCTAATTACAAAGACACATGAAAGTAGCTTTTATAGTGGTTTGACCAAACCATTTTCACACAATAGGGGGGAAAACCAAAACACTTTAATATTAACTAAGCACAGAATAACCTAACTAAACCTAAAATAACCCTGTTCCTGATAACTACATGGTCTGTCCTGCTGAGCAGGCATTTTGTTCTCAGAGTCCTCAGCCACGCCTTTTTCCCAGACCAGGAAACAGCCACCACCCAAAACCAGGTAACTCAAAGAAAGAGAAACATAATTAATATAACAAAACATTTTTAGAAAAACCACACAATGCTACTATGTGCGCGCCTGATAATATCAGTTAAGTTTAACCAAATGATTAATGAATTATATTAATGAAGAAAACTGCAAAACAAACTAATAAAGTGAACAAATGGACTAATTTACTAATTAATGTTTGGGGGACAATCTCTACTAGAACAGCATGGTTGCTTATGTGTCATGAAAGATCAAGTTTGTGATTAGGAACACTGTATATATTTTTGAACAAGCCTTTCTGCCCATACAGGTGTTGGTGTCAGATGGTGGCCCTAATCCCAAGCAAAGTACTGTTTGGGTGATAGTTCAAGTCCTGGATGAAAACGACAACAAGCCCATATTTCCTGAGAAGGTGTATCAAGTCAAACTTCCAGAGAGGGAGCGTAGAAAGAAGGGAGAACCAATCTATCGGGTGTTTGCCTATGACCGTGATGATGGGCCAAACTGTGACCTCTCCTACAGCATTGTGGATGGCAATGAGGATGGGAAGTTCTTCATCGACCCCAAGACAGCAGTGGTATCTTCACGCAAGGCCTTCAGTGCAGGGAGCTACGACATCCTGACTGTATGGATTTTTTTAAAACTTTGTTAAACATGTCTGCTCTGTGAGTTCAAGAACATTTAAGTTGTATTTTCTAAACTCCAAATCATAAATTAATCGCTTAATCTTTGTTGTGAAGGACTTGTTTGAGGCAGGTCTGTCCATTTCTACAATCAGGAGAACATATTCTCTGAATCTAGGGAATGTGTGTAAAAGATTCATTGTGTATTTACTTTTGTTTTTCTTGATGATCTTGATTTTAGGAAATGCTCTTTAAAAATATTTCTTCATCATTAAGGTTGCCTGAACAGCACTCAAAATAACAGAGTTTGGTGCTTATTTAATTGATGCACACTGATTTTAGTTTTGTTATCTGGCTTCTGACAAAAGAATAGCATTCTTCAAAAATGCTGATTGAAGAATGGGATGCCATCTCACAGCAGTGTGTGACCAAACTGGTGACCAGCATGAGAATAAGGTGCCAGGCTCTTGTGGCTGTGTGTGGTTTTTCCACATGCTACTGAGTCCCCATTTAATCTAATAAAGAATGCCAAACAAGAGTCAATAACAGAATAAGCTGTTTGGAAGTTTTTCAAGGGCACAACCCATTTACTCAACTCTGCTCCTAAACCCACAAATGCATTTTCCTTACAAATGTGGCAAGGTTTCCGATGCCTATTTATTGTGACCATGGCAAGAAGTGTTGTTACAACAAAGAAATAATCAACCAGCATACCAAAACAAATAAGGAAATCTAAGTTTTCAACTTGTGGAAGGTCTGTATTTGATGCCAGCTAAAAACCGAAAACACAGCAAACACGTTAACGTTTAAAGTGATGAATACTGTGGACTTCAAGAATGCCGTGATATAGTTGTGGGGTATATTGTATCATAGCATATGGAAATATTTTGGTCTGCAAAAGACCCTTTGCCTTTCTTTTCCTCTATGTTCAGATCAAAGCAACAGACAATGGACGTCCTCAGAAATCCTCCACAGCGCGACTCCACATTGAGTGGATCCGCCGACCGCCAGCTCTCACTCTACCGCTGATTTTTGATGAACCATTCTACAATTTCACTGTGATGGAGAATGACAGGGTGGCTGAGATTGTGGGTGTGGTATCTATGCAGCAGAGCTCCACCCCTTTGTGGTTTGACATCACAGGTAAAATGCCCCTGTAATGGAGTATGCTTCGTAAACCACTTGAGGGTTTTGTTGTGTAAGGAAGGGTGTGCTCAGGTTTGATGCATGTTGTGTTGGTATAAATTAGGTACAGCTCAGATACAGTGGTCTGCATGGTATGTTCTCCCCATCCCAGTTACCATAGTGACAGCTTCTCAGATCCCAGTTCAAGTAATCTGTTGGTAGTCTAATATGGATTAAAATCAGGATGAAACTTAAATTAGATACATTTGTTTATTTTTCTCTCTTTGTTTTAAAAAAAAAAGGATTGTTTCATTGAAGTATTCACAGCTATATTTACTAAGCAGGGCAATTTAATATTATGCTGCTATCACAAAACAAATGTCAACTAGAGGGGAGTGATCAACTAAAACTGTGTTAATTAATAAACATAGTTTAGCCAAGTTCATTGCAGTAACAACCCACATTGTATCAGAAGCAGCACAAATTACCAGATCAAAAACAATTAGACTTTAGAGAGTGAGTAATGTATTTAAAACAAACAAACAAAAAAAGACCATATTTGTACTCTGACAGGTCTCTAGCTGTGATGTATTGTTGGCTCCAATCAGCCCAAAATATATAGATAAATGCGACAGGGGACGACAGACATTCCCACAATACACTTTTTGTCTTTCTAGTCAGTGTACATTAACCTGGAGATACCTTCTGACTTGTGCTTCTGGCTCTCCTTAGCTCTGCCTCTCTTTGTATTTTTTCTCTGTTTTCTGTCCATGTCACTCTCACTTCAAACACATTTTTCTCACTTCATTTGTGTGTAATGATGGTTTCTCATAATCTGAAACTTGAAAAAAATGTGTTTTAGTTATTTAGGAAACAATATGAAGAAGGTAAACATTTTATTTAATTTTTTTTTTAAAAAGGAAAAAAAGGATAAAACATAGAATATTTAGCATTACAGCAGCACAGGTAAGTCAACTGAAAGACCATGTAGTGTGTGTGATCATGGGTATATGTGATCATCACTTGTAAATTTGGCAAAAGACACAGACCAGGAATCCCAGCTGATGATGCAATAAAAAACAACTGCACTTTCATGTTATTTCCAATGTACAGGGTGGGCCATTTATATGGATACACTGTAATAAAATGGGAATGGTTGGTGATATTAAAGTCCTGTTTGTGGCACATTAGTATATGTGAGGGGGCAAACTCCTCAAGATGGGTGGTGACCATGGTGGCCATTTAGAAGTCAGCCATCTTGGATACAACTTTTGTTTTTTCAATAGGAAGAGAGCCATGTGACACATCAAACATAAGTTTGATGTGTCACATTACCAGTAATGGTAATGTCACAAGAAAAACAATGGTGTGCTTGGTTTCAACATAACTTTATTCTTTCATGAGTTTCTCTTTGTTCACAGCCATTGACATGTCGAAGAGGTTAACACGTGAGGAGCGGATCGAAATTGTGTTGATATCTGGTGAACGCAGTAACCGGGTCATTGCAGCAGATTTCAGAGCAAACTGTCACTAATGAAGAAACATCAGTGGCTGTCCTAGCTTCATTCAGCAAGAGCCTACAGTGTAACACTCGCCGCATGTCACTGGAGAGTGGCATTAGTCGAACATCCCTTCGGCAGATATTAGCTACTCACAAATGGCACCCTTACAAACTCCAGCTACTGCAGCATCTCAACGAGGATGACCCAGATCAGTGCACAGAATTTGCAGAATGGGCAAAACAAAAATTGGAACAGGGCCCTCAGTTCACGCAGAAGATTTTGTTCAGTGATGAGGCAAACTTTTATGTGAATGGTGAAGTTAACAAACAAAACCACCGCTATTGGTCTGACACTAACCCACATTGGATGGATCCCTCCAAGACTGTTGGAACAACAAAAGTGATAGTTTGGTGTGGTATATGGGGTACAACGATAGTGGGTCCATTCTTCATCAATAAACTCAATGAATTTTTCCAGCAAGAAAAACTCACATTATGGGTGCCAGGTCCGAGCATTCTTAGATGAACAGTTTCCTGGAAAGTGGATTGGTCGTTATGGGCCAGTTGAATGGCCCCCAGGGTCTCCCGATCTGACCCCCTTAGACTTTTATCTTTGGGGTCATCTGAAGGCAAATGTCTATGGTGTGAAGATACGAGATGTGCAGCACCTGAAACTACGGATACTGGATGCCTGTGCTGGCATTTCTCCTGCGGTATTGCTATCAGTGTGTGAAGAGTGGGAGAAGAGGGTTGCATTGACAATCCAACACAATGGGCAGCACATTGAACACATTTTATAAGTGGTCAGAAACTTGTAAATAACTCATGAAAGAATAAAGTTATGTTGAAAACAAGCACGCCATTGTTTTTCTTGTGACATTACCAATTTGTGTCACATGGCCCTCTTCCTATTGAAAAAAACAAAAGTTGTATCCAAGATGGCTGACTTCTAAATGGCCACCATGGTCACCACCCATCTTGAGGAGTTTGCCCCTCACATATACTAATGTGCCACAAACAGGACTTTAATATCACCAACCATTCCCATTTTATTACAGTGTATCCATATAAATGGCCCACCCTGTACATTATTTTAACTTCAATAACTTCAAGCAAAAAAGCATTTTCTGATGGATAAACTACACGCATAAAATATACAATTTTGCCCCAAGTGATCATCCAGTAAACCTTTCAGCCTTTCTAAATACATGTTAATATCAGAATGGGTTAAAAACCTTACAATTTGCTCTGTAACCTTTTTCAGACTGATAGATGTCAATAGCTTTGTTTCTCAACTGTTTCTTCAGATAGTGGTATGATGTGTTGCTACTTGAGACCTTAACGTACATCACTTTCTTGGACAGGTTCTTTTTCATTTCTGTGCTTGATTCATCAGTAATCAGACCTGAGTGTGTCTAATGAAACTAAACTCAGTGTGGCACAGGAATGACGGACCTGACCACATAGTTTGCTCTTTTTAGCACTTTTTATTCAGTTGCTGCTTTTCGGCTACACCCCACACAACAACCACAACCTCAGGTCCCAGCAAGTCTTTTGCAGGGGAGGCATGATGAACTGATGGAGCTCCGGTGTGTCAGCCTCCCCTGCAGCCATACCATAACACCATGCCCCGCCACACTGGTTAATGATAGTTAATTCATGATTTAACAAGGGAGGCAATTACTTTTGCACACAGAGCTAGGTAGGTTTTGGGTGCCATATAATGTCATTATGGATTAATAAAGTATTCTAATTCTGATGGCCCGTAATAAATGCAATCATCATTTAGTGACAAATATGCAAAAGAATAAGGAATCAGGATAAAGGCAAATACTTTTGCACAGCACTGTATAAACCCAGATAGTTCTTCTCCTTTCTTTTGTCCTTCCCCTGGAGGCTCTCTGACCTTTCTGTCTCACCTCATCTTTCCTGTCTCTTCTCAATGCTTCATGCCCATAAGGTCCCAGGTCTTTCCGTGAGATGTTCTATATTCTGCAGAGCACTTGTGGCAGGAACTGTTCTTCAGAAGGTATCTCCCTTCCACTACTGCTATTTTCTGCCTTCTCAGCACCCTATTTTCATTATTTTTCTGTCATTCTTTATTTTACTGTTTTTGCACCAATGATGCACCCCTCTGCTTGTTATCTGTGCTTGTGGTGCCTGTGCTATAACTGATTAGTTGGATGTGGCTGGTTTTTCGAATGTGCGCATGTGTGTATGTGTCTCTGTCTGTGTATGTGTGAGGCAGAGAGAGAGAGATGGATGGACTGTTGTAGCCAAGATTAGTTGAAGGGATGCAGGTTTAGTAAAACAATACAAAAAGGGAAAAAAAAAATTTGTCCAACCTTATAAACAGTACATTTGCATAATGACTGAAACTAGCCCACTGAAGGAGCAATGGACTGGAAGCGCAGTTCCTTGATCTTTAATATGCAAATTCTCATGACAGTTGATGAACAACTACTGACCAAAGCCCATTGATCAAAGACCACTGATCAATGGACATGAGTACAATTCACAGAAAGTTGGGGAAATGGCTGCAATTACAGCATTGTAAAAATGGTGAAAAATCTACCCTCAGGCCCCCTCCACATTTCAGAGATGGTCTTTCCCTTTTCACGTAAATGCCCCCCTTGACTCCCTGCTCAAACCAGCGTTCCTCCTTGTCCAGGATGTGTACATCCTCATCATTGAAAGAGTGTCCACTGGCCTGTAGGTGCAAATGGTGTGCAGAGTCCTGGCCTGACGAGGAAGCTCTTCTCTGTTGTGCCATCTGCTTCACTAGAGGTTTTTTGGTTTCGCCGATGTATAAATCATTGCAATGCTCCTGGCACTTAACAACGTACACTATATTACTCTGTTTGTGTCAGGGGACCCAATCCTTAGGGTAGACCAATTTTTGGCGCAGTGTTTTTTGGGGTTTAAAAATCACAGAGGTGCTGTGTTTAGAAAAAATGCGTTTCAGCTGTTCTGATACTCCTGACACGTACGAGATCACTACAGGTTTTTCGTGTTGGCAGCAGTTGTCCTTCTCTCTTGGATTGGCTGGAGCTTTCTTTAGGTGACTTCCTAGCTTTGACAAATGTCCAGCTGTCCAGTAGTTGTTGATCAGTGGTCATGAGAATTTGCATCAAGGAACTGACCTCCCAGCCCATTGTTGCGTGGGCTAGTTTCAGTCATTATGCAATGTACTTTTTATAAGGTTGGGGAAACCAGCAGTCAGTTCAGACTGAAGAAGTCACTTGGATGAGTGACGAAATATTTTTCCCACTGAAAATGCTACGTCCAGATAAACAGAATCAGCCTATTGGGGTTTACTTACCTGGATGATTGAGAGAGCATCAAGACATCTTCAATGCACCACAATGGTAGCCTGATATCAGACAGAATTGTCACATAATATTAAACAGAGGCTGTCAACTCAGCTGTATAGAGTGGGGAATCATAATGAAGCAGTTAATTTTAAATTGTAGATTTAAGCTGTTCTTCATATTTTGGGCCACCAGATGCCACAAAAGAGGACTGTGGTGAAAAGCTTTGAGTAATGATCCCTTTTTTCAATATAGGCTTCAATGCTCCAGAAAGTTTCATTGGGCCATTAATACTAACTTGGGTGAACTAAAGGTGAGCCATTTATAATGGCCGGTGGCAAAGTACACATAGGTGAAGCATAATGTTCCAAATAAAACAAAAAGCAGCAGATGGCTGCCCCTCCCTGAGGCTGGCTCTGCTGGGGGTTTCTTCCTGTTAAAAGGGAGTCTTTCCTTCCCACTCTCACCAAAGTGCTTGTCCATAGGGATATTCTGATTGTATTATATAACTGTATTAATGTAAGATCATTTTCCTTGCCATATAAAGCACCTTGAGGCATCTGTTGTTGTGATTTGGCATTCTATAAATTGAATTAATTTGATAAATAAACAATAACAACAAAAAACTAGAAAACTGGAATGATACCCCCCCCCCCCCCCCC